AGGAACTTGCCCTGCTTTAGAATCCGGAGGTAAAGACTACAGCGGATTTTGAGAAATATCGCACTACGTTAGGCCGCCTTGTTGAGCAGGGTTTTAATTGAAATAGTTAATAAAGTTGTGGCCTGAGTTTTAACCCAACAACCTGTGTCATCTCTTTATTTCTGGGCTGGGTGAGCAATAGGCCACAAACTGAAAAGCAGAAAACTTAAAAGGACTGCTGATGGTGGCACCTCCAATGTGAAGCTGGCGATCGCAGTTGTGGGGGGGCCCACCAGTCCTCCAATGGTGCAGGGGAAGCCTTCGGAAGCTTGCCCAGCACCATCAGAGGACTGGCGAGGGTCCCCTGCCACCACGAAGCCTTTGGAAGCCTCTGAAGACTTCCCCAGCACCATCGAAGGACTGCCGGGAGACCTCTGAAAGTGGTGATCATGGTTGCGGGGGACCCCATCAGTCCTCCGATGGTGTTTCCCCAGCTCTCTACCTGGTAAGTGACTTTTTCAGAATTTTTTTTTTGGCCCATAGGAATGCATTAATTAAAATTCAATGCATTCCTATGGGAAAATGCACCTCGCAAGACGAAAATATCTTCATCTTGCAAGGCACCTAAAAACTCACAAGACACTTTCGTCTTGCAAGTTTTTCATTGTTTGAGGTATTCGTCTTGCGAGGTACCACTGTATATTTTCTTTAAAAGAAGTTTAAAAAGATTTAGACACACTGTAGAATGATATCCTGTTATATATGGTCCCTTCCAGCTCTGCAGTTCTATTTCTTTAAAAGAAGTTTAAAAATATTTAGACACACTGTAGAACGATATCCTGTTATATATAGTCCCTTCCAGCTCTGCAGTTCTACCATATGATGATGATGATGATTTAGAGTTCCTGACTCTTTGTGTTAAACATTTTTAGGAAACCTTACAACCTACAGAGCTTAACACAGGGATAATGTTCAGATCGTAGAACAGGCAAGTGATGGTTTTCTGCCATAGATCTGCAGCTTGATATTAAGAAAGTTCATTTGCAAATGTTAGTGTGAACACATTAATGGCAGTATGTATCTTTGTCTTTTAGACTGCTCAGGAGAAGTTGTTCTAAGAAATTAAATCTCTATTCGTCCTCTGGGCCATTGTCTAGTAAGCTTGGGTCCTCGTTTGAGAATTGGTAACAATCAGGACTATAACATATCTACAAAATACAATTATATTAAAACTGAAGTTGACATTTTAAAATGTTACAAAGCCATGGCTAATATTTAGCTGATTTATGAAGTCAATCCAGCCGTGACTGCTAAGGATCACCACATATTTTACTGAAGCACTTTTATGTCTCTAAATTCCAGCCATTCCAAATAATACAAATGAATCTGATATTCACAGCGGCTGCTAAATAGATTCTATGGGAACCCCTGAGAGGCAGCCAGAGCAGGAATCCAGGAGCTGTTCTGTGCTTAAAGAGCGGAGCTGAGAACAGTTATTATTTTTGGACTACTGCCCCCAGAAAGCGCCCCAGCCAACATGGTGGGGGGCGGGGGAGGAGAGAGGCTGTCTAGAAATTATATTCTGTTTATGAGATCTTGTGACTTGTGGTCCAAAAGTAGTATTTCCACAGCAATGTGAAAGTTGGTTAAAGATGTGTAACTTTAAATAACAAGATACAGGAGAAGAACTTATAGGACATGTCTGTAAGTCCAACGGCCCCTAGGAGGCAGCTTCTTTGATCCCTCGCTCTTCTGAAGAGTCAGCCCAGTACTGACTGAAGGGCAGGCCCACAAGAAGTGCCTCAAGCTAAAGGGGACGTAGAAAACCCCTATCTCAAAAAATGATCTGGCATCAGCTGACCTTGTTCCCTACCAATGGTGAACACACCTTGTAGAGCTGTTAGGCGCTTGATGCTTCTGTATGTGAGAGCAAGTGCTACTGGCCCAGGATTATATACATCAGGATATGTATAGAGCTCCTTTCTGTACCTGCCAAACATTTGCTTGATGAGGTGGTATTGCCACTGTGGGCCCATCAGAAACGGGGAACACAGCTAGTGATCGATGCCCACATCCCCCTATTCATGCTTTCAGCAAGAGAGCAAGATAAAACCCTGCTTCACTGAAACAATGTTATATGTGTGTTACAGTACAGATGTGATGACTCCAAAATATTAGGAGCTTTCGACGTACACCAGCCATTGCCAACCTCACATATTCTCTGCATTTCCCCTCTTCGTTGTGTCATATCAAATACCAATTAGACATGTGCTTTCCACATCTTTACAGGACACAAAGCAGAATGGGAAAATAGCCAGAAGGCTGAAACAAATGAATAAAAAGGCAAATACATCAATTTACAAATAAACATAAGAACTGTTACTCAAATAACAAGTTAAGGAAACCTCGTGTGCATAATCCAATTTGAAATGGAATGACAAGAGCTGATACTTGAAAATCACTTGAAGGAAGGTTTTAAATCAGCTTTCAAAACCAGGAAACACTACTGATACATGTAACTAGTGCCTCTTTTCTTTCTTTCTGTCACACTCTGGTGTGATCAGGCAATGAGACTCACTATGCTGATAAAGGTAAGATACTATACAGACAGGAACAGCCTTCACTCTTCACTTCTTCTACATTTTTGGCCTAATCACGTTTTTTGACTCACTATGCTGATAAAGGTACGATACTATACAGACAGGACAGCCATCACTCTTCACTTCTACATTTTTGGCCTAATCACGTTTTTATCAAATCCCATGTTAAGAAAAATACTATTACAGGAGTTTCCCTACAGAAACTGATTTCCTTCAGAGCACATTATGTCTTGCAAAGGAAGCAGATGTTTACGACTTGATGACCAATCACTCCCCCCTCCCCCCAAAATGCAAGTTGATTTGCAAAATGTAGAATGAGGCAAGCTCATGCTTGTATATTTCAACTCTATTTTGTCCCTTCAGGGAGCTTCGCTTCTACTGACGAACTAACTGAATTATCCAGCTGGGGCCTACGCAGAATCCACAGAGATGTGCCAAGGCTCCTTGCCCATCCCTCCGCAGTTCACTACTCCCATTATCATAAACCATCACTTCAAGCATCCCAGTAGAATTTCTTGATCCCTACAGAGTTGCCATCAGATTATACTCTTTTATTTTGAAGAGAGCACACACTGAAATCCCATGTCACAAAATGAAAAGTTTCTAGCTCTTCCTTATAGCAATCTTGTGGGCATGTTGCAAGGATTACCAAGTTGAAATGCATTATAAAAATAACAGCAAGAATTCCATAGGTCTTTAAGTAATTTGCCTTGGCTAATTGCAGCTAATTGATGAGGTGCCAGGGCTTGCCTCAATCACATGCCTAGTCATGTGCCCAATGACACAACTGAGATGTACTTTGTCGGTTAGCGACACCATGTTACACAAACCTTATGCCAAAACCAATAAGATTCTGGCTATAAGTATTATTATTGTTCATCACAAGCATCATTATCACCTTCCTAATCAGCAGCATCACTGTTGTTGCTGTTGCTGTTATTCTTTCTCGTGCTCAACGGAATTGCATCAATTGGCTGGAGAGTACCTGACAGAGGAACTATCTGCCTGTACTTTGAGCACTTCAGGCTGTGCTCTTCTCCTCATAGCTCCACTTTCAAAGGTAAGGTGGAGATCAATGCCACTCCACTTATTATAGCTTTCCTTCCCCTGTGAAGCTCACCTGGCACTACATTTTAGCTGGTTGTCAATTTTTTTGGTCATGATCCAAGTATTTTACGTGTTGCATTATGTTCTTTGTTTGCTTTAAAAAAAATAAAAACAAATCACCACTGTGACATTGACAACTTGTATTTCAGTTGTTTTAAAACACTTTGGACTCTATTCTGATGAAGAATGCCATATTATTATTTAAAATAAACAAACAAATACTACAATGCATTTATTACAGAGAGAAAATCTCCAGAACTCTAGAGCCCCTGTTTTACACCAAATCCAACAGTTGTAGTTAATTCTAAAAGCAATTTTCTTGTTGATTTAAATGAATATTGTTTTGAACCCTGCATGGCCAAAATGCAAATGGTGAATGGAAGATTCCTGTTGTCTCAGTAAAGAATTTAGAACTTGGTAAAGAATTTAGAAATGAAGACCTGTGGTGTAACAATCTAGCAGACAGCAGGAACACAGTGACAGGATGGAAGTAATATAGCTAGAGATATAATCCTTCATACTGAAGAACTGATTGTAAATTCCATCTCAGTGGTTGGCTGCTGTCTAGAGCTGTGCAATAAAGTTCAATAATTAATCATCTACTTGTGGCTTTAATAAAGTAAAGTAAGTTGTAACTAGAGTAGACCCATTTAAATCAATAGAACCTACAGAGGGGCTGACTCACCAGATCCTCAGTGATTCAGTAGGCCCACTCTAGTTGCAAATTACTACACTAAGGAACAGAATTTGAGTCCATTTTTACTTCTTTGGTAAAAAGTAGCATTTATTTATTACACTGTTTTGTAATGTTTGGGTTGACTCTTTTTGGGGATCACTGTTCATACTAGACATTTTATATCTGAACATTGCCTGCTATTACTTCTGACATTTTAAATAATATACTATTGCCATCTAAAGCTTCAGTATAATTCAGAAAGAGGAGATATCAAGTGGGATGGGGAATGGGGAATCAGAGCATCTGTAATGATCCATTTGAGAAAGAGGAAAACTTCCAGTTTGGTGTTCTATTGGGTCATGCCTTTCCACTTTCACTTTCATTATATCATCACACCATCAGACACTAATTGCTCATCAAGGGGCATTAAAGTATAAAGTTTGTTAATTATGAATAGTGAATTGAAACTGGTAACCCAACATTGGTTGAAGATCATTCAACGCATTTTTAGAAGAACTGGCATATATTGAAAAACGTTTTCAACTATTGTTCCTGATAGAATTAAGGATCAGAAATTGATAATAAAAGAAATGCAATAAATTCAAAGCATGCTTGTCTTTAAATTAATTAGTGCTTACCTCTGTGTTTGTGTGGCATAGCTATTATCATAAGCCTCATAACTTGGTTCATCATATTCACCCCCATATCCATCATCGTATCCCTAGAAAACAACAATAAAATAAAAATCTAATTGAGAAGGCTAGCACATAGTGAAAAATATTAGACTGAAATAGAAATGTTGTAATGACACAAAGATGTCACGTCTATGTACGACAACAGATCTTAGAAAACACTAAATGGGTTAGACAACGTTTCCACACACACCCATATCCCACGGAAGCTTGCCCAGAGTATTATTCTCCTCAGGCCATGCCAGCTAGTGTTGGTGATGGGAGCGGAACCGAGCTTTGCCAATTCTCCTTCCTCTGCAATCCCTACAGTGCTACCCTCCATACTGTTCTGAATGGTTCATTACTCCTCAAGAGTGGGATAATGAGTGAGGGAGGAAACTAGGGAGTGGAAATCTGTGGAGTTCACCCTCTCCTTGTTCTCCCAGCTGAAATAATCAGCAGGACCTGAAGCTTTCTTCAGACTGAAGGAGCTTTTGTGTCCAAAGAAGCACAACTGCGAATCCAAGACATGGGGGAGGGGTAAGAACAGAGAGATAGCTAATTAGCGCTTGGGTTAAATGATTACTTTTGGACCCCCTTACATTAATCGCTGTGATGAGGTTATTACTGTACAAGGAAGAATATTTCAGGTAGATGATAATTAACCCCATAGCTTTCTATGGAACCCAACATATAAATGCTTCTTGAAATACCTGCAGGTGAATAATAGGCACGAAAAATGAACAAATGATTGCAAGGGTATAGCAATTTCATTTACACCATTAAAATGTCATTACTGAGCATAAAGCATACCATTCAGTTCCCTTTTTTAAAAAGTGGGGGACAGAAGTATGAGGGGATAGCCACAGACAAGAATTGTAAGTCAACATTCACTACTTTGAGCACTCCATTGTTCCAGTTTCTCTCTCTGGAAAGCCATCTCTGCCATTAGTGGAATCATAGGAGCACCAGATTTTGCAGGTTATTAAGGTGCAGCAAATTCTCAGTTATTTCCTTTGTTATTAATGCATTCCAACTACCAGGGTTAGAGAAAGGTATTTATGGGAGGTTTTTTTTCTTTATATGCCAGCTGGCTGGATAGCTCAGTGGGTTAGGTATCTGACTGCAGAAGCAGATGTTGGGAGTTTGGTTTCCCACTGTGTCTCCTATGAGCAGAGCCAGCCCGTGTGGCCTTGGCCAAGCTGCACAGTTCTAGGGTGCTCTCAAACGGAAGGAATGGTAAGCCTCTTTTGAGTATTCGCTACTTGGAGAACCTTGAAAAAGCATTGCCATAAGTCAGAATAGACTTGACAACACTTGATTATGTATGTCCAACTTACTTGTCTGACTTAGGATGCTATGCACCTTGACTTGAGTGCATGAAATGTGCCATATGCTGCTCTGTCTCAGGCAGCCAAACATCTTGCGTTCAGCGACAAGAGGGAAGAATTTTGCCCTCCCTTTCTTTTCTGCCTTGGCCATTCTGACTATCAGTAGAGCAGAAGAGATTGTGGGGAAGGTTGTTCTGTTAAGGATTCCCCTACTTTTTAGCTTTTTAGGTTGCCACAATCTCAGGAATGGCCTGTGTCCATCAGATTTCTATTTGACATTTTCAAGAGATTGCATAGCCACGTAACACTGCTGACACATTAAAGAGATATATATGGGGGTAAAGTGGGGTAGGAAAAATAGATACTTTGTATGAAGGAGTCATTAGACATGATGCAATTAAAACACACATAGCCAAGATTTAAATATTAACTACTACTGTCTTTTTAAGTACCTGGTGCAGAAATAAGAAATGTGTGACATTTGAGAGAACAAGAGCAATTTGTGATATTTCGCAAAAAAGAAAAGAAAAAGCACTGGGAGAAAAGCATGTTAAAAAGGTCAGGAAAATCAAACTCTTATTCAAAACAGCTGTCCACTTGTAAGAGAATTTCCTATTACTTTCTGAATTTTAAGTGTCTGTTTCTCTAGGCTGGTGTGCTTTCAGATAGGCATCATGAATGGGCAGCAGTGGAAGTGCAACTGCTAGTGGATAAAAGAGGTTATAACATAACTTGGGATGTATGAGGAATCTGAATAAACCAGCTGAACAATATAGATAAGGAATCTGCATTAACTCTGAGGCTCAGTGGGCTTGTCTTTGATCTGTACACCCCCCCCCTGAACCCCTGCACAATTGGTATTCTGGAACCCTCACCATGATAGATATCGGCAGATGTGTTTCCTTTGAAATGTGCATATTTGAAAAGCGTTTATAGAAAAATGTGCACACTTCAAATGCATGCAGCACACTGATTAAACATACTTTAATCAATGGGGGAATGTGGTCAAAGAATGCCCAGAATTTTAAAAACGCACACTAGCACGTGCATGTTTGAAAAATAGGCAAAGATAAGGTCACATCCCATCTGGTTAAAAGACACAGCTACTGCCCAGTCTGGACACAGAGTGATGCAGAAGTGAGAAAGACAGGCTGTTAGTGGATTCAGACTTCGTATTCCTAAGCATCACCCTATACACCTGTGCTGCTGTTTTTCCTGTATATTGTTTCTCTCATAAATTGTTTTAGTTTGGTTCACAGATCTATTATCTTAAAATGCATTCATTTATATGTTCAATCTGATCCATTTCTTCATTAGTCTGCAGTTCGTTTTTTAAAAAAAAACATATTAAGATTCATATTTTAATGCATATTTGAATATGCAAATTAGAGGGGAAGGAATTTTAATTTTAATTCCCTTTATCAAAATATGCATTTATAGATGTATTTTATTGGAAAATAAGCATTTTTGATCTACTGATTGTATCACAAATTTCAAAGAATCATAATCATAGAATGGTAAACATGCCCTGACATTCACAGGAGCCTATGAAATATAGACAGACCTTGGAAAAATTACATTTTTGGACTACTGTACAAATTCCAGAACCTCCAGCCAGCATATGTTTCTGTGTGTGTGTGTGGGGGGGGTTCTTGGTCTTGAGAGAAATTTGGGGAGCTGCAAAATAGGAAATTAATTTTCTATGCTTTGGGTATGGATTAAACTGGTTCACTTCGAAATTTGGAAAGACCAAAATCCTCACACATCCCTACATTTTAGTAAACTTAAGAATCTCCTTGTATACTGTCCCACAACAGCTATGCTTTGGAAGAAGAGTTAGAAATCATTTTAATAAATGAGAATAAATCACCTGCAGCAAAAGCAACACTTAATGTTATGGTTGGGGTTATCATGGGATGTCAATAGAAGTGACTCATCCTTCACATCATCTGAAAGGCATTTCATCTTCCACAGACGTGGTTCTATTTGGCAGCAATCTGTTATACCAGGATTGAAGTCTAAAAAAATAATAATTGCACAGAGCTTTCTCCATCTGTGCAACACAGTCTACAGATACATGTAACTCTATCAATGCAGTCTATTCTATATACTCTCATAGGAATGGACATTTCTGGCATTATGCTCATGGGAATGAAATCATCTATAGAATGTACCTTCCTCACCTGCCACTTTCAGACTTCAAAATGATTGCAGGAAATATATAGTACAACCATGATTCCTACTCAAGACACATTTAAACTTATTAGTAAAAGGAATATATGAAAAAGCATTATGTGAATGCAAAAAAATGTGTGCATTAAACAAAAATAATACACAGAATGTGTATATTAGGAGAAACACACACAAAGATACACACTCAATTTCTGGAGACTTTGGTAATTTTTGTAGAATGTTCTTAATAGTGTAAGATATCTGTGGAGACCATCTGAAAACTCCTTGCCCCTTGCATGGGAGGATGAGACAAACAAGAATGTACATCCCTCGGTTTTAGTAGTGCTGCACTGAATATTTCTTCACTTTGACACTTGCTTTGAAATCAGACCACCTGCTGTACTTGAGTAAAAACTTGAAGACATCTAGATGGACATTTGTTTTATTTCAGGGCTGTTCTTCTGTTTCCCAGGGAAATGTGTCTTGTTCTTTGTTCTAATTTGCTTTCACAACTACAGCACCTACTTGGCTATAGCAAACTATGCATATTTTTGCCTACATTCATTTATGACAGCATGCCAGCCATAGGAGTATGGTAATCCAAACAAAGCAAAATGAGTTGATGTGACCTAATCAGTTGAAGTAGCAGTAAACAGTGATGGGATTAAGGAGAGGATCAGATGTACAATAAGCATCAATTGTTTCCCCAAAGTGGTGAAGATCTAAGAATGAATGCAAAACTATGTATGTAGTCATTGCTCAGGCCTACTTTAAGTTAAGCTTGAAGCACCAGGTCAGGGTACTTTTTGCTGCCAGGCATGACACTTTATTGCCCAACTAGACCTACACAGAACAAGACCTTCAGCATAGGCATTATAGGACAAAAGAAGAATTGGAAACAGTGGCCATGTAGAACTGTTTTTGTACTAACAGACAAAAACAGTCCCAACAAATCTATCGGACTTTAACATGGCGGACTTTATTTGTCCCAGCCAATGTAACCTATTGGGACAAGAGCTATACCATTCCATTTTCTGAGAAATTGCAATGCAGATGACACACTATGTTATCCCCATTCAGAGGGACATTCAATGGGCCCTGAACACAGATCGGTACATCTCCAAACCCTAACCCTCTTCCAAATTCTTAATACATGAGCTTATCACTAAAGAGAGCAAATATCCCATAGCTTTATACAGAGTGCAACATTTTTTTCTCAATTTTCTGATGAATGAGGGTTAAGCAAGTTAATTATATGCTTATTATCTTTCCGCTTAAATTGCAAGGACCTGAAAATGCTTTATCAGATTGTGACAGGTATTTCCCCATCTTCAGCTAGTTGCTTTTACAGAATCCTCTTTAGATTACTTTGCTGTAATCATAACATTGTACAGATGCTTTGTAGGTTTCATCACTTGAAAGAAATAGTTCATATTTTTAACTAATGCTCCCTAAATTCCTGATCACTTTAATAGTACTCTTTAGTCTTCCTCCCGTTAATTTAGCTCCTCTCAAAACATTGTACCGTGCAGATTTTATTCAGTGGT